TTTTATAAAGGTACCCAGCCCTAGCCACACACTGGATTTAGTATTAACCTTTGGTTTATCTGTTTCTGAGTTAGAAATTGGGGATGCAGTTTTCTCTGAACTCAAACCCATTTTTTTCAACATTTCTTTTGTCAACGAGTCCAAACCCCCTCCAGCAAGGCCTTGTTGAATATTTAACCCTTCCACTGCTGCGCCCTTTTCATCTGCTTTTACTAAAAACTCTCTCTCAGTCTGTGAATCCTCTTCCATGAACACCCATGAGCTAGTCACTGTACATCAAGTGACCTGTGCTAAGGTGCGTGACCTAGTTGCACCATTAAAAATTAGGCATCCAAAGCGCACTCCACACCCTTGGATGAATGAGATCACTCGCCCAGCCGAATGTCAATGCAGGAAAGCCGAACGTAAATGGAAGAACAAACTTCACATTTCTTTTATCATGCTAAAATCATGTTACAAAGAGTACCAGGCCACTGTTAAATCAGAAAAAAACAAATATTTCTCCCAAATCATCGCTTCAAACAGCCACAATCCCCTCATTCTTTTCAACACCATTAACTCCATTTTAACTGTGTCTGTCTGCCAACAGGGAGGTCTCTGCAGTTACATGTGACGACTTTACCAGTTTCTTTGTTAAAAAGGTTGAGTCGATCAGGTCACTGATTCCTCACGCCACAGCTGACCCCTCTGTCTTTGTCCCCTCCACATCAGTCTTTAACCAGTTTGAACCCATTTCCCTCTCATTTCTAAATGACGTCATTGGTCATATGAACCCCTCGGGTTCCCCTGCTGACCCCATCCCTGCATCGTTTTTTAAACAAGTCCTACCCTCCATTGGACCCTCTGTTCTTGACATTATAAACAGCAGTATGGCTACAGGTGTAGTTCCTGACGCTTTTAAACATGCAGTGGTAACTCCTTTAATAAAAAAAAACCCGGACTTGACCCTTCAACCTGCTCAAATTTCAGACCCATCTTCAAACTTCCTTTTCTTTCTAAGATCCTGGAGAAAATAGTTTTCACTCAATTAAACGAGTTCTTTAGTGGAAATTCTATTCTTGAGATCTTTCAGTCTGGCTTTAAGAAACTACACAACACTGAAACAACCTTAGTTAGGGTCTGCAACGACATTCTTCTGGCAAATGACTGGTCAGTCTGTAGTCCTGGTACTCCTTGACCTTACCGCTGCATTTGATACTGTGGACCACAGTATCCTTTTATCCCGGCTAGAACACTGGGTTGGGATTACTGGTGCAGCGTTAGAATGGTTCCATTCATACTTGAGCGACAGGAGTTTCTGTGTTAATTTTGCTAACACTCTGTCTACTTTAGTGCCTCTTTCCTGCGGGGTCCCGCAAGGCTCCAATCTTGGACCCCTTCTGTTTTCATTGTATCTCCTTTTATGTAAATAGCTACCCCCCCCCCCCCTTTTTTTTTTTTTTACATTCACAGTGATAAATTTTAAATCTATCGATTGCCAGGTCATTCTTCAAGACAGATTTGTTTAGCCAGATTTAAGAGATGAAGATTACATTTGCCCTGTTGGCACGCACGTAGCTGGATATCTCATCGACTGGAAGACTTGATAATGTGTCTATCTCTGCTGCCATCTGTGGATTTTTAGGACTCATATTTAATTGGATTTTCGATAACTGGTTCTTGCTTTTTGGATTTGGCTGTTTGCTAGTTTTTTCTACAATCAAGGAAGTCGTCGGCAGCAAATTTGGACCCGATCAAGCTGCTTGCCTTTATGATGGCTTGGTTCTTGTCTCGAGTTCTTGGACTCAAATGCTTTGGGCAGAATGGATCAGATCTCGAGGATTGTACTCGGTCACGTTCCATCGGTGTGGCAATGTATTTTGGACATGGGCGAAGCCTATACGAAATAGAACGTTGGTTACGTACTGTAACCCCAGATTCTATAAGTATTGGCGTAGCCCTTTAAGCGTCGGGCCTCACTGGCTCCTAAATGGCTGAAGAAAAAGCTATTTGGGAGCCGATTACCCGCTCTTAACGTAATTTATACGGACCAGGTGGGGCCCACACAGCAGGTGGGCGTGGACTAAATTTTTCAGTGTAATGCTTCGCATAACGGGATAAACCCACTAAGCGACAGCCTTAAAGGGCGAAGCCTATATGAAATAGAATCTGGGGTTACAGTACGTAACCAATGTTTTTCGTGACTGATGTGTAATTACAGGAGTTAATAGTGTGACAATTAGCCCCCATAATCAAACCATGAGGAACGTTAATGAAGACATGATCACTCAGAACCCCAAAACAGTGAAAATTACAGTGAGGTGCAGATCCATATCCATACAAGATTCAGTGACTTCAGATAGTCAGAATCTGAAAGTAATGACAATAATATGAATGGTGCAGAAAAGTCTCGGACCATACAGCATCACAGATCAAATGGGCAAACAAATCCGATGAGGTGGTCCAACTGCAGTTTAAGGTGGGCTCCAGCTCCCCTGTGAAGATGGATCAGTCCAGCTGCTCCCATGAAGAACAGAAGCTGGGTCCAGAACCAACAGGCAGAAACAGGTAATTTGTAGCAAATAGCAGAGCGGGCTGCCAGAAAGCAAGCTGTTAGAAAATCCGCCCAAAATGAAAGGCATGGTCCTAGCTTGGTTCAGGTCAACAGAGGACAATAGCGTTATCCGGAATAAAAACCTTCAGCTGACCAGCTTTGAACCGGTGGACCTGCACAGATCCAATTTATCCAGGTGAGTTTATGGTAAATGGACTGTACTTATCTAGCGCCTTTCTATCTTACCAAGACACTCAAAGCTCTTTACAACAATCTGTGCCTCATTTACCCATTCATACAACTCTATACTAGATCTCTACAAAGCTAATTGAACAAATCGTTCTAGAAAGACTAATCAGTGCTTTTTTATCACATTCATACACTGATGGGACACACATCAGAGAGTTCAATGTCTTGCCCAGGGACACTTTGACGTGACTGCTGGTGGATTCAAACCCCCAACTCTTGCATTGGAGGATGACTGCTCTAACCACTCAGCCACCCATTGGATTTTAGATGGAAGACCAGTAGAACTCTGATGCAGAACTCCGGGCTTCCCTTGAGCAGCTGCTCCTTAGTGCTTCACAGCATGAGAGGCTTCTTCCAGTCGAACAATGATGAGAACTGACCGGAGAAGGTGGAGCCGTCCATGGTTCCGTTCAGAATCTGGTCTGGTTCTGTCAGGCTCCTCTGCGGCCAACAGCAAATCCCACAAGGATGGATGATCCTTTAATGAAAAGTAAAGGCTGAGACTGAGAGAGACCGGCTCTGTTCCAGGTAAATTCCCCCCACAGATAAACTCTGTTTGTTTCTGGTCCTGTTTGGGAACACAGGGACACTTCCATCACGACCAACTACAAACACCCAACAAGGAGCCAGTCCAACAAAAAGTCGTAAAATACCACACAGCAATCCTGATCAGAACAAAGTAGAACCACTAAGGTCCCGATGAAAAGTCTGGTTGGGGTTCGAAGAGAGAGAGAAGAAAAAAAACAGACCTTCGTACAAGGACTCCTCGCTCGAGGGGCCACCTGGCCGGCAGGCTGCGCTCAGAGTGACCGGTGGGGTGGGAGCGGCCGGTCCAGGACCAAATTTAATTTTTTGATGGTCCCGTCTGACTCTTGAGTCACTGAACAACAAATTCGGTTGCAAGAAGGACCAACTTTAGTCCGGCTTGAAAAACAGGTCGGTTTGATGTTAAAACTGCAGAGAAGCCAGGGGAGCTGCCGTCCATCAGCTTACCAGAAGTATATCAAGTGCTGAATAAAACAGTCAAGAGTTTTTACTGCTTTTAGTTTAATGTTTCCAAAAGACCAATAGTCCAGGAAATTACAGAGCAGATCACTCAATGATTTGACATTTTGTTGGTAAACGCTGAACAAAAATCATTTGCGTGTCGTTGAGGATCCAAACAAGCAGAAAGGTCAGGAATACAAGGACTGAAAGTAAAGGAACTAAAAGTACCAAAACCAGTAACTAAACGTCTAAACAGGTAAAGTACAATTCAGCTGATCTTGAACAATTAAAGACAAGCAGCAAATGAATTGATGAACATGAAGCTCTCTAAGGTCATTAAGGTCTCAAAGATGGCATCCATCCAGATACGGGTTCAGGTCTTGGTTCTTGCAGTGTACACGCCAGGCCACCCTGAAACCACAAAACAAAGATAATCCAGAAATAAAGCTCAAAGCCATGAACACGTCTCCGTCACATGATCTCACCAGGCTGAGACGCCTGCAGGATCCTGAACAACTCGTTTAGCGCAGTTAATCGCCTTGTCCACATTATCAGCCAGGAGTTCTGGAACGGCAGAAGTGGCACTTTTTAAAGTCATGTTTGGTGGATCTGACTGAGAATCAGTAAAATATGTAGGATGTGGTTAGTTTGGAGTTTCTTCACTGACCGCTGCAGCCGAGATTGCAGGCATTGGACGATATACTGTGCCCTTCCTTGCACCATTGGCTGTTGATCTGGAATATGCCGAAGTCCGTGGATCCATCAGAGTTGTGGTTGACTGCCTCAGTGTTGTAACTGGACTCCCACTTGGTCAGACAAACCCCTTCAGATAAAACACATGAATTAAGGACCAACTTTAGGCTTTTAGATTCACCCTGATGTGCAATCTCTTGACCTTTGGGGGAAACATTGGCCACCTTTTATTTTTGTCGTGTTTTTAATCGTTCAGATTCAGTCAAACATGAATTCTTAAAAAAAAAACTAAAAATCTTTCCACTTTTACTTCTTCTCAGATTTTGTTCAGATGCTCTCATTACCTGACGGTACCTTTACTTCACTCTCTTCATTTTAGGGAGTTAAAGTTGGTGGATTGCCCCCTCAGGAACAAACCGTCACAAAGTTACAGGACTTCCAGAGTTCTGCTGGTCCAGTGGTTCAAGGTTCTGCCTCTGAACTTTATTTTCTACCTCACATTCAGCTGTTTCCTGTCAGACTGACAGTTTGTACTCACAGTTGGCCAGGCTGACTCCTTTGTATCCGTCCATCCCATGCTCCTTCAACGTCCGAGCCCAGTCGCAGCGCTCAAAGACCTTCCCGTTGGCTCCAGCCACCAGCAGCAGTGCAAACACCAGGAACTTCATCTTGCTCTTTCTGCTGGACACAGTGTTTGTCTGCTTTTATAGTCAGTTCTGTGGGTGGTTCCTACGGTGTACAGGTGCAAACGAGTTGCACCTGTCGAGATAAAATCTGCAATTACAGAAAGCAGAAGAAACAGACAACCAACAAAAGAAATGCAAATGAAAATGTTGCAAATTCCAAAAACCACTAAAAACATCAAAACAACTGGAAGTAAGAAACACTGCAAACTCTCCAAAAAACACCAGGAGGAGACTGGACCAGCAAGTCCTCTGGGACCAGACCCTGTAACACTTTACAGCTGAGCAGATAGTTTCTAAAGTCAGAATACTTTCAGTGTCTGTGAGGAGTTATCAAATGTCTCAACTAAAGAGAGCGTTTGATAATGTAAGGAAACAAAAAACAACTAGAGTTAAAGTAAGACAGAAAATTAAACTTTGCTTAGACAATGACTTCAAATCATGTAAATGGTTATTTCATAGAAAAACCACAGAAAATATATTACAGCTTTTCTTAATTGTTTACACACATTTTCTGAAAGCGTGCCTCATAATTTCAGAACGCTACACACTAGTCAAAAAACCACACACACAATGGGCAAAACCCCTCAATTCTCCTTCAAATCGAAACTTTACATTCAAAGCAATGTTATCTCTTCTCAAAATGGTATTTTATACTCGGATGACACACACAAACCATCATATGAATAGACGTTTACAAGAACCAGTTAAACATTGATGTACTCTGTGTAAAACACTTCTATCCAGTCATCATAATGACAGGCCCTTTTTTGTTCAGTGTTACACTTATGTAGTACAGATAGTACATACATCAATGTGTTGTAAAATATTTAAAAAAATTATTTTTACACTCAGAACACACAAATAAATGGTTACATCTACAAACCGGATTCCAAAAAAGTTGGGACACTAAACAAATTGTGAATAAAAACTGAATGCAATGATGTGGAGGTGCCACATCTAATATTTTATTCAGAATAGAACACAAATCACAGATCAAAAGTTTAAACTGAGAGAATGTATCATTTTAAGGGATAAATCTGTTGTTTCCAAATTTCATGGCATCAACAAATCCCAAAAAGTTGGGACAAGTCCATTTTTCCCACTGTGTGGCATCCCCCCTTCTTCTTCCAACACTCAACAGACGTCTGGGGACAGAGGAGACCAGTTTCTCCAGTTTAGAAATAGGAATGTTCTCCCATTCATGTCTAATACAGGCCTCTAGCAGCACTAGGAAGAAGGACATCCTAAGGCTGAATTGGCTCATTAAGGAGGTGGGCTCTGTGGTGGGACTGGGTCTTGACTTTGTGGAAAAGGTGGTGGAGCAGAGGACATGCTCCAAGATCAGGGCAATCATGTCCAATCATGGCCACCCCTTGAACTCTGTCTTCTCTAACCAGCAAAGTTCAATGAGCTCCAGACTCTGTCCATTGAGGTGTTCTACTGAGAGACTAAAGAACTTGTTTGTCCCTCATGCCATTAGGCTGTGTAATTCAGCCACTCCAGGCAGGAACCAGAGAAGCTAGCTGGTTTTGTCCCCTAACATAGTTGCTGCTTTATCTCCTGTTAGGGTTGTTTTAAAATTATTTATTGATCTTTTTAATAATAATTTCCTTTGGGATCAATAATCTATCTATCTATCTATCTATCTATCTATCTATCTATCTATCTATCTATCTATCTATCCATCTATCCATCTATCCATCTATCCATCCATCCATCCATCCATCCATCCATACATACATACATACATACATACACATACATACACATACATACATACATACATACATACACATACATACACATACATACATACACATACATATATATACACATATACATACATATACACATATACATACATATACATACATATACATACATACATATACATACATATATATACACATATATATACATGTATATACATGTATATACATGTATATATACACATATATATCTACTCTATCTATCTATGGCGGGGGAAGAGTAAGACATCTGTAGCGTAGGCTCCCACCAGCACTGCTTAAAAAGTGCTTTTCAAAAAAATATTCTTGTAACTCTTTGCTACTTTTATGTTGGATGCTCAAGTATTCAACATTGTTGTATGATTGACTCTGCAAAGCTGAAGTATGGTGACAAACTTGAGGAGACATAAGCACACAGGATCTGTGGACGCTAGGCCCGACACCCAACACTGTGTTGCTGTAGTAGTCCAGTCAACAGGTGACTGGACTACTACAGCAACAGAAATTAGAGAGATAGGTAGGAAGGTACTTGGTGTGTCATCTGGACAGGGAATGGGTTATAAAGAAACCTGGTGGTGGCATAGTGAAGTGCAGGAAGTTCTTGAAAGAAAGAGGTTAGCCAAGAAGACATATGACAGTGAGAGGACTGAAGAGAGGAGACAGGAATATAAGGAGATGGGACCTAGAGCAAAGAGGGAGGTAGCTAAGATAAAGTAGAAGGTGTATGATGAGTTGTATGGGAGGCTGAACACTAAAGAGAACGAGAAAGACTTGTACCAATTGGCAAGACAGAGGGATTAGGCTGTAAAGTGTGTGCAGCAGGTTAGGCTTGTTAAAAATGAGAATGGTAATCTCTACTCCAGTGGTTCCCAACCCTGGTCCTCAAGGAACACTACCCTGCATGTTTTAGTTGTTTCCCTGCTCCAACACCGCTGTAACAGCAGTAGGACGGCAGCTCCTTTGCTTCTTTGCAGTCTGCAACATCAAACAGACCCAATTTTGAACTGGACTAAAACGTTTGGTCCCTCTTCTAACCGACTTCGGTGCTCAGTGGACTCAAAGAGCCGAACGGAACCGTCCAGGAATTTTGGGACCGGGACCACTTCCAGCCCATCAGTCATTCTGAGCGCTGCTTGCCAGCCAGGTTGCCTCTCGAGCGGGGAGACGTCCAAAGGTCTGGTGTTTTTCTTTGGATTCCAACCGGACTCTTCATTTGGATCTCTGCAAACTGTTTAGTTCCGACCGGGACTGCTGTGTGGTTTTATGTTGACTTTCTGTCAGACCAGCTCTCTTCGTGGGTGTCTTGCTGTTGGCTGCGGGGGGAGTTGATCGGAGCTGGACCAGAACCGAGCCGGCCAGAACTGAGCTGGTCCCATCCTCAGCAGGTCATCCTGATCCTTGCCCACTGAATGATCGGGTTTATCCATGAGCATCTTGCTGTCGGCTATGGGGGAGTTTGACGGAACTGGACCAGAACCGAGCCAAGGACGGCTCCAGCCTCTACGGTCAGTTTAACCACTGCTCACCTGCGAGGAAGCATCTCGTACCAGGAAGCGCTGTGGAGGAGCTGCTCGAAAGATTGGCACTTTCATCTTCCGTCTGCACTCACCTGGATTCATACGGGACCACCGGTTTGGAGCTGGTCAGCTGAAGGATCTGTTTCGGGTCACGTTGTTGGTAGCGTCTGTTTTCTTCATTGAGCTCTGTTCGTACAAATCCTGAACCCGCGGAGGGTTTTACCCGACGGGTTTTTCTATCACCTGGATCAGATCCCTATTGACCCGAACTGAGCCAGAATCATGCCTTTCAGAATGAACGGACTCTCTGGCAGCTCGCTCTGTATTTGGATGTGGATTACCTGATTCTGCCTGTTGGTTCTGCATCCAGCTTCTGTTCAGCATTAGAGCAGCTGGAGTGATTTGTTTGCTACGGGATGCTGGAGCTCCCCATGGCCCAGCTGAAACTGCAGTCGGATCACAATGCCGGGCTTGTTGGTCCATTTGAACCATAAAGCTGTCTGGCCTGAAACCCATCAACTCTATCCTCATCATTTTCAGAACTTTGACTATTTGGAGTCATTGAACCTTTTTAATGCTTCTGGCTATGCCTTTCCCTGCCAAATTCATTGCTTTTGGGTTCTGAGAAACCATGTCTTTATTAATTCTTCTCACCATGGATCGATTATGGGAGCCAAGTGCCACAATATTAACTCTTGTAACTACATATCTGTTACAAAAAAACTCAAGGAAATGTTTAATAGAAATGCTTCTCCTGCTATCCGGGATCCAGCCTAACCCTGGACCCCCCACACATTATAGAACACCAAATGATTTTAAAAACATGTCAGAACTACACTTTTTGCACATTAATGTACGTAGCTTCCTTCGTAAAATTGATATGCTGAGGATTTAGGTCTGTTCATTTAGTTATGATGTAATTTTTATTTCTGAAACTTGGTTATCCAAATCAATTTTGGATACAGATGTGTCAATTGACAGATTTAATATCTATCGTTCTGACCGTCGGAGAACGGGGGGTGGAATTTCAATTTACATTAGATCAAGTCTGGATTATCAACTGGTGACTTCTAAAACAATACCAAACCAATTTGAAATCTTGGCAATAAACATTACTTTGCATGGAGGCCATACCTTATCTGTTGTGGGCTGTTATCGTGTTGGGTCTTGCGTCTCTCAACTTTCTCTTCACAATATCCCACAGGTTCTCTATGGGGTTCAGGTCAGGAGAGTTAGCAGGCCAATTGAGCACAGTAATACCATGGTCAGTAAACCAGTTACCAGTGGTTTTGGCACTGTGAGCAGGTGCCAGGTCGTGCTGAAAAATGAAATCTTCATCTCCATAAAGCTTTTCAGCAGATGGAAGCATGAAGTGCTCCAAAATCTCCTGATAGCTAGCTGCATTGACCCTGCCCTTGATAAAACACAGTGGACCAACACCAGCAGCTGACATGGCACCCCAGACCATCACTGACTGTGGGTGCTTCACACTGGACTTCTGGCATTTTGGCATTTCCTTCTCCCCAGTCTTCCTCCAGACTCTGGCACCTTGATTTCCGAATGACATGCAAAATTTGCTTTCATCCGAAAAAAGTACTTTGGACCACTGAGCAACAGTCCAGTGCTGCTTCTCTGTAGCCCAGGTCAGGCGCTTCTGTCGCTGTTTCTGGTTCAAGAGTGGCTTGACCTGGGGAATGCGGCACCTGTAGCCCATTTCCTGCACAAACCTGTGCACGGTGGCTCTGGATGTTTCTACTCCAGACTCAGTCCACTGCTTCCGCAGGTCCCCCAAGGTCTGGAATCGGCCCTTCTCCACAATCCTCCCCAGGGTCCGATCACCTCTTCTCATTGTGCAGCATTTTTTGCCACACTTTTCCCTTCCCACAGACTTCCCACTGAGGTGCCTTGATACAGCACTCTGGGAACAGCCTATTCGTTCAGCAATTTCTTTCTGTGTCTTACCCTCTTGCTTGAGAGTGTCAATGATGGCCTTCTGGACAGCAGTCAGGTCAGCAGTCTTACCCATGATTGCGGTTTTGAGTAATGAACAAGGCTGGGAGTTTTTAAAAGCCTCAGGAATCTTTTGCAGGTGTTTAGAGTTACGTCGTTGATTCAGATGGTTAGGTTAATAGCTTGTTTAGAGAACCTTTTCATGATATGCTAATTTTTT